ATTACAAAATTTGACGAAAACTCGTAAATGGATATGAAAAGCGAAAGGGAGCGAATAGTATGTATGATGTCCTTCCTAGATCGTCCTGACTGCACAAATGCAAACAGTCGTAATTAATCGATGTGCTTTACATTGTTTGCAATTGTGAGAACACATTTTCTGGGCACATGGTTCCTTGATGGATAGTGATGGGCGTAAAAAATTAACAACTGAACTCAACTTAAGCTCAATATGCGGTCAATAATGGAAAAGGGTTTGGTATGGCTCAGTGGTCAAATCATTTGGCCAACGATGGAGGAGGAGAGTATCCTTGAATTGCATTCCCACCCCCTGGCGACTCCCAGTCAAATTCAAAACTAAACTGAATCACAGATGATGATTTCTTCTATCTCAAAGCGATTACTTAAACATGGTCTAATTGTTATACATTCACTCGCTGATTTGTAATAATATCTATGCGCCGCAGTAGATCTTATGCTGGCGGGATCATGCACCATCCGCGGAGCCGTTGAAGTGTTAGCCTGATGTACAGTAAAGGCCACACTGATTCATTCTCTTAAATTTGAGTTTTGTCTGCTCAGAGCGGCTGCATGTTTATGCCATTTAAATCAGCGGCTCAACGACTGATCACAATATTCCAGACGAAAACCTGACGTTTTGTAGGAAGTAAATTTTAAATCTGGGTCATCTCGATGTTCAAGCTGTTAAATTGAGTTGGCAGCTTGTTTCCATACGGTCAGTTGCAAATTTAGATTGTAAGTTCAAATTCTTCACGGTTTTGGTGGTAATCAATGATTGAAATGTTCCCTTGATTTGAACACGTAATTTATTACGTGAAAACTGTTCAAATTGTGAAAATTCGTCAATCAAAATCCGCATTAATTTCAATATTAAAAGTTCTCATTTGTTTCTTACTGCCATGAGCAGGCTCCTACATGTCCACGTGTTTGAATAGTGTGCAGTCATAAAAATTAAAAACAGCGCTAACTTTTCATCACCCTTATTACCTGTTGAATATGTGAACCATCGTTGAGGTGTTACATAAAAAATCTACGTTGTACAGAAGTTGTGTAAATGAAGATTAACGAGTATTCTTTATTAATTACTATACGCAGACTTTTAATTGACGATGACTGATACTTCTTTGTAATTAATGGCCGTCAGAGTCTGTCCTGTACGATTTGTCGCCATAAGATTCCACCCCTCTCTTTTAGCCCTTCGTTCCATCTGAGCTGAGGTCAGTAGGGCACTTGCAACCATTTGGATACCAATCCGTCGCTGTGCTGTCCAGCTATCATCCGTCAGTCATGCTACATAGTTCTGCGTAATGCATTCAGTGATCTGGCGGTCATTTTTGTTTGTCATTCGATGATTATGGCTAGTGCCAGTGCATGCTTGCCAAATGTGTTGGACAGAATATCCGTTTGCCATTCACGCCGCGGGAATGTAGTTCAAGGTGACGGCTTTGTTAGGCTTGGCCCATTTGAAATTTTCTTCGGTTAGTTGGGCTAGGGCCACCTCTTTTCTGGCGGTTTCTCTTCCGTACCTCGGAGCGGTGCTTCATGTCAGAGATGATTTTTTATTATTTAATGTTAAGGTTAGGGATTTGATCCAGAATGTGAAAACTTCAACTACTTGCTGAATCAAGTCGACGTCGATAGGCAAATGAAGTGATTAGCTGATTACCGTGATCATTGACGAAACACATTTTAGATATTGGTGAAGAAAGTGAAGCTTACTAGTGTTTCATTGGATCATTTTTGTCATAATCGAAATTCAATTTCTTAACTAGTTTCGTCTCTTCAATTGGAATTTCACCTTTTACTTTGGAAGTTTAGGATCAGCGTCGATGTTGAGGGTTTTGCACGGAGTTGGTGAGGTCGAACTTTAAGAAAACAATAGAATCGAGGCTTGTTTTGCAACCTGTTCTTATCGCACAATTTTTAATGACTTCGTGAATTTGTCATTTGCATACTGATCTAATTTTTGTGCTCAGGTAGTTGTTATAAAATAGAAAAGTTTTTCACCTTTGCAATGTCGCTCTTCATATACTTTCATGATTTAGCCTTTATGCCGCCCTTCTTTTCATGAAGTTAATGGTGCGGTGCTGATCATTGTTTCTATGTCACCAGCCAGGAGTGGTTTATTTTTTTAAAAGCAGAGTCTGCAGTCACGTGGCAAGAGTAGCTTGTAGTCTGCTATTTACTTCCTAGTGGTACTCATTTATCAACCTCTGAACGAGGAAGGGCGGATGGGACTTGAACTCTCGACCTCTCGATTTTGAGGTATACGCTTCACCTATTGAGTTACTCTGTTCTGAAAGAATATGCGGTAAATTTCTTGCTTAAAGGAATTCGTAAATACAATGATTGTCTTTGAGCAGAATCGAACCTGGCACTTCCGAAGTTTGAAGTAAATCATAGATACGGCCACAATTTCAACTGTCTGTTAGAAAAATGCTCTATTTGACTGATAACCTGTATGTACGTTCGAAGGCCCCTTTTCTGTTGCCGGCCACAGTTGTAATAGCGAATTTGCATGGCCGTTTTTAATGTACTCTAACATTTTGAGTATTTTAGTATCCAGCATTTACGTTATTCGTCTAATTTCTCTTCGTTTCCTGACAACCCTTTTGTATTCAGTTTATTGATTCTTCTTTAGTCGATGGTACATTTCAGATGATCTGTCCACTTCATTGAATCCTTCTTGAGTTATCCAAGACACAATATTCTCCTTAATGTCCTTCACTTCCCCTCAAAATCAAGTAAATCATGAACATGTTTTAGCAATGCTTTTCTCCAAACGCCATTAGTGACTGAAGTAATTTCATTGCACACAGTTGTGATGCTTCCCATTGCCATCTTGACGTCGTAGTTCTTTAACGACTATTTAATGATTTCACAAAGGTGAGTTTTTCTTAATAGCAAAAATATTTGTAAAGTGAAGCAGCTATAAATTTGTATGGTTGCGAAAATTCGTAAATCGAAAGAGAGCTGTATATGTCTTGGCGTTCTGCTTGATTGAAGAACGCTGCACCAGCGTTGAAGCGAGTTGTTTTCATCGTTGTTTAGTGGGCTACTTTGCCAAAAGTACTTTTAAAGTTTCAGACTGGGAGGGGCATGTGCTGTGCTGCGCAAACTGTCGAATGGCTGTCCTTCCGTTGGCGATACACGTCGTTAGTTTTAGGGTACGAAATGGCTGAGCGGATAAGTAGTTTACTTAGAACATTAGAGATACCAGGTTTAAATTCGATGCGCGCGCATAAACTTATTTTTGTATTTTCTTATAATTCCCTTCAGCAAAGAATTCATTCCGCTAGTTAGAGACGTGTAGCAAGTAGTTGACCTTCGAGTGGTCAAAGCATTGTCAGCGCGTGCCGGATGTACGACAGTGCTGCCTGATGCACACAGTTTGGTCTGACTCGCATAGCAGCTGACTGAAGTTTGGCAAAAGATGTAATTCATTAATAACTGAATTAAATAAATTGCATTTCGCATTGTCAACCTTCATAGATTTACTTAGGTGGAAGCTGAACGCAAAAGATTAATCGCGTTCTACGAAGAGCAGTACCGAATAGATCGACTTCGCATTGAAGAAGAAATCAGGAGGGAGGTGTTCAAAGAATTCCAGCAGGTGATGAGCATGCGAACGGCTCGCCAAATGTAGTCACTTCGACCACTGTCGTACTGTTATGCTGCATGGCCTTTGTTTTTAGAAAAATGACAGAAAACTTAGTACTCGATACCCAGATCTACGCTGACGATCGAATTGAGGCGCTTTTGAACTCAGCGAAAGGAGACATCAACTTGGCCGACGATTCTTCTGTTTGCAGTGTCGAATCCAACGCTGGTGATGTGACAGTGGTTCAGCGAGGCCAAGACGATGACGAGGAGGTACTCACTTTCGTATGTAAACAAGTAGTAGAGATAGTAGAATTTTTTGACGTTTCTTAAGCCAAGGGTAATAAAAACAGTTGGCTTTTTTATAAATTTTTTTGATTATCAGTAACAGTGACACGTGATCTTCTCCGTCTAGTGAAATGTAAAGATAGAGAAGTCTCTAACCATTGAGAGGATAGTTTCCCTTACAATGACTGGGCGCCATTATTGGCACCTTTATATCATGGATCCTGCAAGACTAATCGCAACCGAAAGTACATGTTACGCATATAGCGCTGCGATTTTAGTTGTTCCCCCTTCCCCTCCTGTATCGGCAATGGAATTACAGGTGTAGGGGACACATGCCGTGCATAAATTACCGCTGATCGACTGCATGCTGTCCGTGAGCTCCATATGTTGGAATGTCGGTTACGCTGCTATAGAGTGTTAGTAGCAGTTGTTGCACGTAAACGCACGTGCGGTTGGTAAAAATTGGTGTGTTTAAAAAAAGGAAACGAACGTTGCACTTGCCCTATTTATAGCTACATGTGTAGCTAAAAGAAGGTTTATTCGCACGAGCACAATGTGGCATTCTGTTTCCAGACACAATGATGAAACCCGTATGCTTCGTTTCCTTAGTGTCACGTACTAAATTATATCACAATCATAATTATTTGCTCATTCCGCTGTGTGAGTCCTGAAGAAAAAAGTATCATTGACCGGCGATGCTACTCTGTGCATGGGGGGACGTTAATCATATTTCTAGTTCTTCTAATTCTTTGATCATACGGTTTTCCGTAATTTTGTGTGTACGAAATGACTGACGTCCGTCTGCAGTGACGCTATCAATTTAATGGCTGCGCTGATTGTTGTCGAAGTGAAAAGACAGGCGTCCTCTTAATAATAGGCAAATAGCGAAACGGTAAATGCTTGAAAAAATATATCTATCAAGTGAAGCTTTTGGAATTCACGGTGCTGTTCATTCTTCGACAGAAAATTAATAGCGTGCTAAGGAAAACGTCTTCTTCATCTTCCATCGCCGCTTCTCCTTTCGGGTCGCTGAGTCAGACACGTCAAACAGAGCTTCCAACGTTCCTGAACCTGTGCCAGGGTCTGAGCTTCGGCAAAAGACAAATGGAGCCTGGAACAGACTCCTTCCATATATTTGCACCAGCTTAATCTTGGCCGTCTTATGGGTCTACTACCTGTTGGTTAGGCAAGAAAGAGTTGTATAGCCTTCCTTTCTGGAGGCATTCGCAACACATGCCCAAGCCATCGCAGCTGTTACTTCTCAGTCTGGAGAAGCAAAGGCTGTATACCAAGGCTCTTCTGGTTGTCAATTCCAGACCATGTCCAGACGCGTAAGGCCAGCGACTCGTCTGAGATCGTCTGCTTCTATTTTATATCTTTTTACTCATTTTTATGGGAAACTTCACCATATGGCGCATGTCGCATCGGCCGATAGTTCCTCATGGATGTGTTAACCTTCACATATTTTATAGCTTGTTTGCCTCCGTATGTGCCTCCATATGTCATTGTTTATGTTATATTATTATATGTTATTTTCAACATCAATGGAAGATGAAGAAGATGATTCTCAACATCATCAATACTGTTTTATGTGTTTAAACTTAGAGCCAGTGAAACGAAGTAAAGACATCATTTCCATTCGTAGAGCATATTTGACATGCACCACAACAAACTGATATCTCTTAAAATTTAATGGGGATCTAGATTGTTAACTCTAGATGCCCATCCTCGTCAGCCTACTGCGATTCGTCCCCGCAAACGTCTGTACCTCTCTGTTAGCTAGTCATTCCCTCTA